GTTTAATATAAATAAAAAATAGTAAGGCTAAGTTTTTATTATTCAAAAAATAGATTGAAGCAAAAACGGTATTATGGTGAAATAAATTTACAGAAAAAAACACACAAAAAATAAAACCTGTTAAACATATTAAATTGTAGTTTTTTATTGATTATTTTTGTGTGTTTTAGTGGTAATAAGTTAGAATGAAATATCACATTCTGTAAATTAAGAAGGTAGTTGCCCATTTCGTTTTTTTAAACTGTAATAATCTCAAAAACCATTTATTTTTTTTCAGTTTTGACAAATAGTTGAGTAAAAAAATTAATATTATATTTTTTCAATTATTTTTTAATTAATCATAAATTTGCAGTGTTAAAACCCATATCCATATTTTAATGTTGTTTATTTCAAAAAATTTATCAATATATGTTTGTCAACTCTTGTATAACTGTTATCTTATTTTGTTATATACAATTTAATTCACAATTATCAATATTTGTATTTAACATTAAATATAATTGTAAATATAAAATAAACGACTTTTTTATATTCATGATCGATACATTTAATACATCATACCTTAAACACAAGAATAAACATTTCAATTTTTAATACCACTTTACTAACATTTTAATTTATTTTTTCGACAATTTAATTATTATAAATAAAATAAAACCAATATATTTTCTATTTATAAAATACACATTCGGTTTTTAGAAGTATGTAATGTCAAAAAACATTATGTGAGCCTTTAAAGTTAAAACAACAAAAGGTCTATTATATTTAAGTATAAATATATCAAAAAAAAACTTAGTCGTTATTTTAAGTATTAATATACAAAAGTTTAATAAATTTAAAATAAATGGCATTGTGATTAATTAAATACTAATCGACTCTATTGATCCAATTGCGTTAGTAATTGAAATTTTTTACACATTCAAATAAAACAAACACAAATAATATTAACAGTATTAACAATTAATAAGAATCACAATTATTACTCTTATAGTTTAATATAGTGTTATATATTAACAAAGTATAGTATATTAACAATACTTTGAAAACTCAAAATAGATTACTTACCATAAATGTCGATTGTCTTTTCCCACACCCGTGGCTGTCTATTGTTTGCTTCCCAGTACTTCATATATTCTTCTTCAAGAGCTAACGACTTTTCGTTCACGATTTTATTCTGCTCGATCTTCTTTAAATTGGAAGCGAGTCGTCGAGTCTGCATTTTTTGTTTGTCGTTTCCTTCCATTCCCCAAACGGTTTTCATGACTTCAAAATAGTCTTTAAACGTCTCAATTAAAGAGTTCATCAGTTCTAAATGTTTTAACCGATCGTAACACATATCAAAAAATGCATCGAACATCACCCCTAAGACATCTACGTTCACTCCAACTTTTATCTTGTTATCATAAACCATGTACATTGAAGTCATCATAACATCAAATATCGACTCAACGTTCCCCGCTTCGCTCATCATGAAGCTCAGTATATTCTAAATATCTTCTCAATCCGCTCAATATACTGTAACCCGTTCTCGTCACTCAAATACCCCATCAATATCTTATAATCATTTCCTTCATTTTTCACATAGACTGAATTTAAACATGGCGAGACACTTCGTAGTATCAGTTGGACTATATCTCTAAACGCCTTGCATTTGTATGAAAGTTCAGACAACATAAATCCACTGTAGAACGCTGTTTTAGGGTCCATTTTAAGTAAATGGGATGACGAAATTAAACACCGTAAGAAGTAAGTCAAGATCTCAAGTGTTTCGTTAGAATCTCTATCTGCACACTTGTCAACTACTTTTTGAACAACACCTTCAAGTTCTCCAAAGTTCTGCACTACACTATTTCCAAGCACTGCTATTTCATCCAATTCGCTCTGACTCAATTTGATCTCTGGAAGTTTGTTAATTGCTTTGACGCATTCTTGATAATTATTAATCTTCTCTGGATCTCCATAATACATGTATGTGTCCATCACAAGTTTCACAAAGCGGTCATTTCTTTCTTTTTCATGTGGTTGTATTTCTTTTTGATAGTATCTATTTATTTCTTCTAATTTATTAATTGTTCTTTAAATGATTTATTTTTAAACAACAACGCTGTACTATTAAAATTAAAATAGTGTGAATTAATATATTTTTACATCATTTTAATATTACTTTAAATTTCAGTGTTACATTATTAAATAAACTCTTATACGTCTTTTCTTGTGAAACTGGTTTTTACTCTGTTATTTCTTTTTCATTGGTTATCTTTTTTTTAATCTTTTAAACGTGTTTTATTTTATTATCATAATATTAAATTGATATTATAAATATCTATTTATAAACAAACTTTTATTGTTTTCTTTTTCAAATTTCTCATCGTGTTGATATTTTGAAGTGATCAATTTTTTTGAGTTTTTGATTTGATCGATTTTAACGTTCTTTTCTTGGACAATTGTATCTATTTTGTCTTGATACGGTTTTGTGTCTATTTTGCATTTTTCATCAAGAAGTACTATTCTAATATCACATATCTTGTCCAACTTTTTAATGTCGTTTTCTATTGAATATAAAGCCAAATATTTTTTGATTTTATCTGAAATGTTATCCAAATCAATGACAATTGTGTTGAGTGAAGTTGTAATGTTTATTTTTCTTTTAATAATCTCATCAAGTCTGTCAAAGTACCCCTCTGCGTTTTCAATGCGTTGTGCAATGTCAAGTGACTCGTTGTCAACATAGTTGTTTTCTATTTTTAATGCTTGGAGGTCTGAAATCGCCTTTTCTGTATTTGTATATAATGTTGATAAATCTTTTAATTGGTTTTCCATTTGTTGTTTTTCAGTTTTTAGTTCAGTAATATTTACTGTAGTTTCATTTTTCAGAACTTTATGAAAAATATAATATAAATTTTATTATAAACTATATTATCACTTTAAATAAATCGAACTATAAAAAAGACAAGAAACAAAACAATTAAAGTTTCACTAATAAATCAGCCAATTGTTTATGAAAAATAAATTATACTTGAATGTTAAAAAAATTGCATTATTTTTATTTTTAACATTTATTTTTTTTGTTGCATGATATCACTAGTACAGTCAAACGTTTCAAAAGTGGGAAGTGTGGTAATTTTATTTTTCTCAAGAGCGGGCATTTTTAGCCAACCAAACCTTGATTACCGCTATATAAAAAACACTATTTAAAGTTTTAGTCGAATAAATGTACACTCTTAAAAGAACCCGTTCTTTAGAGGTACCATTTTTGTGAGGTATTGTTATATGTTACATTTTGGAAACGACTGTTGATTGTAAAGGTTGGTAGTATTAATTAAAAGTATGTTTAAACATTTGAGTTGTTTTTTTACAAATCGTATTAAAGACATAAAAAAACATCATAACAAAGTAATGAAGTCAATCATTACCACATAAATTTAAACAAAAAAGTAATATTATGTGTGTAATTTTGAGACTCACCTGGAAGTGTTGTTGCAGTAATATTAGTACTTAGGTGTTGTTTATTGACAAAGATTAAAAATTAAACTTAAACTTATCGTTATCACTTGGTGTTGCTTGTTCATAACGTTAAACACAAATGTACATACCATTATTAATTATGAAACTGTCCAGCCAAAAATCAAAAATTAATGAATCATATGGGTTTCATTTTAAAACCAATTTTACACTTTAAAAAAATACTTGTCACATTTTGAATTGTGTTTTTATTATTGCTTGTTTGTTCCGATGTAATACACCTTTTTGTCCATACCAGGTTGAAGTTGATGTGATATAGTCACAATAACTTCAAACATAAAAAGTTAATAAAATAATTCGCTTATTATTTTATTGTACAACTCAATTTGTTCTTTTCTGACACAATTAATCATTAGAAATTAATAGCAATAAATAATAATATTTCAATTATCTATTTACTATAGATTAAATAAAATTGATAATTTTTTATGTTATTAAGTTTAATTGTAGAATTAACATTAAAATATTATAATTTATTTGTCTATTTGTTATATTATTTTCTATTTGGATTATAATTATCATTTGAATCACAAAAGTTTATTATATTTTATTATCAATTAAAGCAAAGCAAGAGTGGCCGAGTGGTCCAAGGCGCTCGTTTCAGGTACGAGTCTTTTCGAAGGCGTGGGTTCGAACCCCACCTCTTGCATTTTATATATAGTTGATGTTTATATTTTTATAAACATGTTTAAGACGTGACTTAACACTTTTAATAAAGAGATAAATCAGATTCAATTTGTGGTTTGCATGTATTATTTTTAATAAATAATCCAATTTTGTTTTTGGAACTATTATTTTTAATTAATTATATTAATAAATAAAAATTTTGATAACAATAAAAAGAAATAAAATCAAAGTTAACCTATATTATTTAATTGTCGTTTT